ATCGTGAGATCTGTGAAGTTTACGGACAAAACATTATGAGTGATGGAATGGTAAGGAAATGGGTGAGAGCATTTAAAGATGGCCGCACAAATGTGCATGATGAAGAACGGAGTGGGCGTCCTTCGGTCGTTAATGAAGAGTCGGTGCAGAAAGTGGACAAAAAGGTGAAAGAAAACAGACGCTTTACAATTTCATCATTGTGCGACTACTTTCCTCAATGTTCTCGTAGTGTTTTGTATCGCATTGTGACCGAGAACTTGAATTACCGGAAATTGTGTTCACGTTGGGTTCCGAAAATGTTGACGGATTTGCACAAAACCCAACGTTTAGGCAGTGCATTGACTTTCCTTGAGCAGTACTACAATGAAGGTGAAGATTTTTTAGGCAAAATTGTTACTGGTGACGAAACATGGGTGGCCTACGTCACACCAGAATCGAAACAACAGTCCATGGAATGGCGACATTCATCATCACCCAAAAGAGTGAAGTTTAAGCAAACAATTTCTGCCCGGAAAATCATGTGCACAGTTTTTTGGGACAGAAAAGGAGTATTGCTAGTGGAGTTTTTGCCTCGCAATGAGACAATCAATGCAGCATCTTATTGTGAGACATTGAACAATCTGCGCCGTGCAATCCAAAACAAAAGATGTGGCAAGTTGAGTAAGGGTATTGTTTTGCTGCATGACAATGCCCGTCCACATGTGGCTAATCGGACCAAAGATCTCATCAAATCTTTTAATTGGGAAACTCTAGATCATCCTCCATACAGCCCTGATCTGGCGCCCAGTGACTACCATTTATTCCTGCACTTGAAATAACACCTTGGCGGTCAGCGTCTTCAAGACGATAACGAAGTCAAAAGAGTTGTGATACAGTGGTTAACCAGTCAGGCGGCAGAATTTTATGAGGAGGGTATTGAAAAACTGGTGCCACGTTATGACAAGTGCCTCAATATTCACGGAAATTATGTAGAAAAGTAGATTAAGGTACAGGCTTTCATGTAAGAATAAAATTATTGCGATATCTTTGCACGTTTTTTTTAATTCCAAAACGGTACTTACTTAAAAAACATGCCTCGTATCAAAACATTTACTTTTTCATTTTTAGAATTTTCACAAATTATACTTCCTAACATTTTTAGAATAATTAAATAATACATTTTTCGTAGACTCACTATTTAAACCTGTGTATTTGTATATATCGATTGTTTCGATATTCTCCGATGGTGGCAGCACTGGCGTAGAATGCACCAAGCCTATACTGTTTAACCAGCGGATCTGAAGCTACGGAAGGAATGCGAGAAAAAAAAAATCGATATTACCACGTTTATCTATAAAATTGCAAAATTGCCAGACATGAACTATAAATTTCATATATTTTTATTATATATAATGTGTTTAGCATATATTCTGACGTATATTACTAAGGAATTTTAACGTAGTTCATATTGTTCGATATGTTTTATTTAATAACTTATTTCTTTCATTCTGTATAACCTATTTATTATGGGGGAAGGTGAAGATTTTCAACGATATCATTGGCAAACCGGCCTCGCCGCGCATGGCCGCCTATTCATCGAACATGATTGGCGAGAGTACGTCACAGGATTTGTTACCACGTGGTTTCCATGGCTTTTACGCCTTTCCTATTCCCTATTTTTATCCCCAACTTCACGGTCTTTTGATCATTATTACTTTCTTTCATTATTTTATACCGGTTATCCTAAATTTTATTCCTATATTTTTCGTATATTTAATAGTTAAGTTGTGTTTTATTGTTTTGTTATCTTGTTATAATGTTTTTCGTTCGTAGTTTTTAATTATTAATATTAAGTTTGATCGTATATTTGTGCTTTAAAATGAATAAATTTGTTAAGGGTAAGACGCTACCTAGCCAGACAAGAGAAATAATAGCTAATTTATATAGGTAAGTGGAATAATAATAATATATGTAATTATTAAAATGGTATTCTGGTATTTTATTAAAATTAAATATTGGCTAAAATGAAAAACACGCATTTTACCTAAATATTTTAGCTAAACTAAAATAAATAAAAATAAACGTGGATGAAATCTCATTTAGTTTATTTCCTTGTGTTCATAATAGGGTTTTCGACGAAGAAGCTACAGAGAGTTCGCTTAAGTTGCCGCGTAAACGTAAACTTGAGCGGATATCTCTTTATACCGGAGTTAGCGCATCGGCTATAAAAAAATTCACCCAGAAGATAAAAAAAGGCTGGAAACTAACCCCGATAAAATGAAAAAAAAAAAAAAAGAAACGACCTTCTTGGTTTTGGTGTATTGTGCTAATTTACTGTTTTATTTTGCTGTGTAAGACCAAAGGTTCCAACCCCCAGCTGAAATTATTTCTTCTATTATATCTATTAACAACACATAATAATAAAATGATTCAAAATATTTAAGGGAGCTTTAATAAAAGCTTTTAATGTTTATCTGCTAACTCAACAGTAACCATTCAAACAGCATAAAGTTTTTTGAAAAAAATTATTAATCTGAATATTATATTTATGATACACATTATTTTCATAAAACACCGTACGCCCATGCCTATTTTATGAATGAAATGGGGCGTGTTTTGTTTACAACTGCGTTCCCCTGCCGATACCCCGTAGCCACAAATTACCTATAACAGATGCGAAAGAAAGCGACTGCATCGGAAACCGCTCGGCAAACCCGACACGCCTATTGAGTGGTGTAAATACACCAGTCGTTTAGTCCGGAAACCTATGCTGTGTCGTATTCGCTTGCTGGAATAACATAGTGCGTGGTTATATGTTTCTTTTTAAAAACGCGTGTAGGATTTTTGTTGAACTTTTGAACTCTTATTTCTAAGTTTTGGTAATTTGTATATCTTATTTAAAATGGGATGCAAATGTGTTTATTTATAAGGAAAAAAAAGATATTTATAGTATAAAAATTAATTTATTTAACAAAATTTATTAAAAATGTGACAAAATAGTTACCTTTCTATTGGTTCTATCGGACTTTTCTCGACTATATAAATCTTTATTTGTAAACTTTAATACATCAAATATTTTCAATCTAATAAATCATTTAATGATGTAAATAAGAGGAAATTTCTCACATGGGTGGTAAAATTTTATAGTTTTCATTATATCAAACAGCCTCTGAGAAATGTTTTCAACTCAAAATGGCCTTTAATTATGTTTGACTACATCATTAAAAAGGGTCTTCAAATACATCAATGTGATATTTGTCTAAAATTTGCAAAAGAATCCGAATCTCTGGATAACTCGAAATTATTTACCCATTTAAAAGCCTTTGATCATGAAAGTAGAAAAATTTGTTCATTTTATTTACAGGCTGGAAAAATTATTTATATTAAATTTTGATGAGTTTTGCACTGAAGAAAACATTCAGAGGCTGTTTGATATAAATGAAACTATAGAATTTGACCACCCATGTGAGAAATTTCCTCTTATTTACATCATTAAATTATTTATTAGATTGAAAATATTTTATGCATTAAAGTTTACAAAAAATAAAGATTTATATAGTCGAAAAAAGTCCGATAGAACCAATAGAAATGTAACTATTTTGTCACATCTTTAATTAAATTTTGTTAAATAAATTAATTTTTTATACTATAAATATCTTTTTTTTTCCTAATCTCCTACGAGCTGATATAATATGACGAGCAATCTATTAAATTACTGTGAAATTATACAGAAAAGTCCACAGACTCAAGGACTAGGAAAATCAAGTCCATTTAGCGTGTGTCCAAATTTTGACAAGTTTTCAAAAATGACAGTTTTGTTTAGACTGACGTTTAATTTCACCTGACTTCTCGGTGAATGATTTCTTTTTATGGGGGTAAATAAAATCTAAAATTTACGGCCATGAAGAAATTCAAAACTTGGAGCAGTTAAGGCAGAAAATATTTAATGCCTTTGACACTGTCACCCCTGATATGTTATCCAATGTGAGGAGGGGATTTTATGATCGTTTGGGTTATTGTTTAATGCAAGAGGGAGGCACTTTTGAACAATTTTTGTAATTTTTTAAATTTCATTATCCTGTTTTTTTTACCGCTTACCCATTACCTACCTTGACGAACATGGGAAAACGAAGGTCCTTTTCAGGACCACAAATATTTTGATTGAGAAAATTGGTAACTTTTTTTGGATTAAAAAACAAAAGTTGTTAATATAATACCAATTTAAAAGTGTTTTAGTAGTTTTAATACACACTATGATATAAAATTTATTATTATTATAATGTACATTATTAATACTATTGTTCATTCGAAATGGCATTAAGGCCCAATTGCAACAATGATTTAAATTTTTCTTAAAGATAAGTAGAGCTTAGAATGAGCTGTATTTATATTTACTTTAATATTCACCTTAAATGCACTTAAAGGTGACTGATACAATTTTTGAATTTGAATTGTTTTTAATGATACTAACAATTTTAGTGCAATTTTTAATAAAATTTATTTAATATTAATAGAAATCCAAGAGATTTGAAACCTCTTTTAGCGATTTATAACATTCTCAAATGAATTACAGGTGCCCTTATTTTCTATGAAAATCACACAGCTTTTTTCATAGTCGCTGCAGTTGCTATAGCTATAAAAAACTATTTTTTTAAGGTGTGAAAATTGCGACACACGCTAAATGGACTTGATTTTTCGTATGTCTCAAAGTCTGTGGACCTTTTTGTATGACTCGATAACATATTGGTGCAGATTATTTTCACCCAAACAAATAATAACCCAAACTATACATTGATGCGGATTCTCTATGAACTCTTTCTGAAGGTCACAGAAACCTGAACGCGTAATTCGGTGTTCTTTCGCATCTGTTATAGTTAATTTGTGCCGTAGCTTCAAATCCGTTGGTCACACTATACAAGGTATAGATAATTCATTTTCTACGTGTCGTTACCCAACCCTGTCAGCGTTAATACCGAATGTTTTTACCACTACAACATGAAAAATGAACGACTCCGACTTACCGTTACTTGTCATAGCTTTGAAATCGATTATAGAGTCCTGGTTCAAAGTATCGGGGGGCGGCTGGAACGTCTTCCACTGAGGATTGTTGGCCATGTTCATTCAGTGCTTCTTGGTTTAAATCTTTTCACTTCTTATCGTTTCTTAAGTGTAGTGAATATCACAGAATGGTTATATAAATATATTCGGTATTTCTCAAATACCCCACAATACAATCAAATGGATGTGCTTGTATGCGTGTGGATGTTGGATGTGTGTGTGTGTGTGTGGAGCGGTGTGATCGTCGGTCGCTGACGCCCTTTGCGACCACACGTGTTCTCAACAAAATCTATTATTTGTACACGTTGAAATCAATCGAAATTCACAAGTCCACAATGTCCTTTTACAATATTCGATAATAAATGACAAAAAAAAAATAATATATTATTGGCAACGAAAAAGAAAAATCAAAAATAAAATAGTTCAATAAAGTTATGTATCAAAAAATTACGTTTTTTCGCGGTCACTCAAAATTTGTATGGAGTGTGATAACAGAAAAATTAAATAAAAATCCTCAGATGTCTTCAATGCGTGCTGGGTGCGTATTGTGCTGCAATGCTCGAAAGATTTTTGTCCATAAGGCCAGTGGTTACACAGGGAGTAGAGCGCAGGTTACTTCGAATTTTCTACACTAAATTTTGGAGGTTCTTAGTTACACAAGCTGAAACAAACAAAAATAAGTATATTAGTGAAAATACTATAATTACGTGGTAGACACGTTCCACAGAAAATTGCGTAAAGCGGAAATCGCGTATAACGGGGTTCTAACCAGGGTTGGCATGATTTAAATCAAGTGATTTTTTTAATTTTAATCATGTGATTTAAATTAAAAAAAATAATTTTATTGAAACTTTATTATAAATCAAAAAATAACTGTAAAAGTTATAAAAATGTGTCCTAGAAAACTGTAAAACATATTTCTATAACAGGTATAACAGATAATAAATCGAAAAATAATTGTAAATGTTATAAAACTATATAAAATTATCTATTCATGAATTTAATTGTTGGACCGATTTTTGAACTTATTTCGTCTGAATCCATTAGACCGCTCAACGCAGGGATTTATTTTAACATTTATGTAAAAGTGACAAAAATTCCAATACATATCATTCGCAAAGTCTAGTGCAGAACTAGGTACTTCTAATATAGAGACTATCTTCGTCCCCGAGAATCTATTATCGTTCTCACACAGAAATTATGTTTTTATTTTATTTTTGAAACGGTTGTACGTTTCCAAGTTCCTACCGACATTTTGATCTGCAGTTAAGTTAGTAAGTACCTTACACTTTGGCATTAGATAATACATACTAATTTCATTCTCGACTTAAGACTATTTCCGAAAAATAGTGTATTGTTTTATTAAGAGTAAAAATTATACTTTTTTTGACGATGCTGTACCTTTGAAGGACCATCGTAAAGCTATTCCGACGTTACAGGGTGGCACAAAAAGTACATTTTTTCTCCGAATAGAACATACTATTTTTTTTAACATTACAAATAATTTTTTAATCAATTTCAAACATTGCAAATAATATAAACAGTAATCGAGCAACAATTTGTAAACTCGATGAATTTGACACTTAATATCAGTTTAATAATATATTTTTGTACTTTTGTGCTTAGGCGTAACAGTGCTTTACTTTTCTGCTTAGGTGTTAAAATGACAAAAATTAATACTTTTGAGACGTTTGAAAAAAACGACGACTTTTTTTGCGGAATATATTGGTGACCGATGTGGAAAAATCACACGCCACCTAGAATAATTGTTAATGTTATCGGTATCTAGGTATAGATTTAGCCATTTAGGATAGAACTTTAACTGGAAATAAGTCCTAGTCATTTGGAAATCTGATTTATATATTGTTTTGAATTAAAATCAATAAAATCTGATTTTTTTGTTTTTTTTAAAAATATCATGATTTTTTCCAACCCTGGTTCTAACACATATGTATTAATTTTTATAGGTTACATACTTTCTCAAAGAAGCAACAGATAAACCCATATATATATTGTATTTCTCAGAGTACATTTGAAGGGCCCATGGGAACAACATGACAAATCCCAATTTCTTAATTTTAGGCTTTTACAATACCGTTTTTTTACTTAGTTTGATAGAAAATGACACTCTGAGTAGAATGACATATCATATGTCAACTTTGACATTTTCTCATATGATTTATTTGACGCCTTCCACTGAGGTATGTATGTCATGTAACATGCGGATCATAACGACAATTGCTGTCCTCCTTTCACGCAGTTGAGCAGCTCTGAACTGTTCAAGAACGCGATACTCTCACTCCATTCAGTTGAGTCATAAAGTTCCAGAACTGTTCCGCGCCATATGGAGGCACTGGGCTATCGCGCACAGCTCCTTTCAGAACCGTTCTCGAGTAGCCCCAGGGCGTAAAGCCCGGAACACGAAGTTCGCGAATGGAGGACAGCAAATTCGACTCGAAATACCAAGTGTGTGGTAACAAATTATTCGTAAAAAAATGCTTTTTTCAAATATGCTAATAAGTCACCCACACCATAACGTCACCTTTGAAAAAATTGAGATATGATTAAAAATACGATTTGGGTATCTTTGGCCCGTCTAGAACAAGATACGAAAAACATTAGACGATCAAAACTATTGTTCCAAGGTTACTTGATTAAAAATTAGTGTTTTTAACGCAGCCATGGCACTCTAGATTGAAATTTAAAATACGATTTTTTATAAAGCGAGAATGTCAAAAGTTGACATGTGATATGTCATTTTATTCAGAATATCATTTTCTATCGAATAAAGTAAAAAAATACCGAGGGTGCCATTTAACAACCTAAAGTTTTAGTTATTTCCGGTGAAACAGGAAGTGACCGAAAACAACTGAATACGTCAACATACGAATTTATGTCAAATCCTAACTTATCAAATCTCGTTTTTTTTTATCTGACAAAATAATAAAGTTATAGGGATGAGCCACTTTTGAGACGCACCCGGTATAGTAGTAGGTTTAATTAGTCCCTAAAAATTGTATAAACTCGGCAGAGCTGTTAAATCCTATAACGTATGCCAAGTAACAATATACTTACAGGGAAAGAACTTGATAACCACCAGAATTAGTAAAATGGCGCCTATCATGTTCTTCCCCTGGACCCCTCATGTGTAGTATGTGACCCTTCGTAAACAATAATTATATCTTTTTAAATGTAACGTAATTGTAGGTTTCTAAAATTTTACTCTTTTTAAAGTATGTACTTAAAAGTTTTTCTTTGTTTTTGGCACTGGCGCGTAGAGTTTATTCCCTTATTAAAATCGCACGCAAAATTAGTATTTCTCCCACCATTCTCAATCCGATTTATAATTTTTAACTTAGTATTAAGTGTCAAACTATTACGTTTATTAGTAGACGACAAGAACTGCAATTTAACGTGTGATATCAACAATGACATTGTCACCAAATACCAAATAAACTCTGCGGCCCCTCAAACAAAACTAATTTGGTTCTTAAGTAAACAGACTACACAAGGATACATGCCGGATAATATGACATACATGGATAATATGCCAGATTGGAGGTAGAATGCCCTGTTGCCATTACATCCAGTTCTATTGGCATAAGTAATACTACAATTCTAGCGCGTAAGCAATACTGTAAACTTAATTCAAATTTGATTTGATATTAAGCCCCGTCTACACATAACGTTTTACTTCTCAGTTTTGCATGTCAGTTAAAACGGAAGACCGCATAGAAAACTGCCGTCAGCTCTCAAGACGGTCGTCCGTCTTGCACTGAATTGGTACCGGCCGGTCGACTTGACTACCCCTCATTAATAAGAGCTACCGACGATTTTCACTTTACGGACCAATTACGGTCACTCGAGGATATTGCCAATGATAGGGAAACGAGTCTAGACCAGAAAACGGACTATATGCTCACCAAACATGATTTTGGAGAAAAAATAAAGATTCGCATCCCGACAAGAATGGAAAAGCAACCTAGTAATGAACACTCAAAAGACAGCAGTCTACACAGATGCTTCAGGAGGCACATGTATAAGCATCGCCTCAGAGGAACTAGACATATGATGATCCATAAGGCTATCGGATGGCTGTAATATTCTACAAGTAGACGTTTGCGCTATAAAGAAAGCGGCCAGTTTTATACGAGAGAAAATCGCTGCTAGACCAATAGGAGATATGGTGATATACTTGAGAGCTTGGGCGCTTTAAGAAGCATCACCATGCAATCAGTGAGATCGAAAGCTGTGATGGACTGCCGAGAAGCACTGTCCTGGCTACGTCCAGGCGGAACCAATCTGTGCTATAGGTGCCAGGCCATAGCAATGTGGTGGGAACCAAAAAGCGGTCAGATTCGCCAAAGCGAGACCAGGGGAGGGGCCGTGGCAGATGACCCACAACTTGTGGCGATCTGCACACTGAAGGAAGCTATAGAAACTACCATCATGGCTAAGCAGCAAGAGATGTGGTAACACCGTGAGGACCGCGCTACAGCTCGAAGACTGCGGCCAGTGGTAGATCGCAAAAAGGCAAAACTACTAGAGCACAAAAAGAACACAGTACGCATAATTGTAAGTGTCGTCACAGGAAACTGCCCCACAGGGGTAAACCTCATGAGGTGGAAGATTTCCGACGACTAATGTAGAGAATGCGGAGAGGAAGAAAAAACCATAGAGCATCTGCTGTGCCACTGTCCGGCACTGGAATACCGACGCTTTAAAACTTTAGGGCAAGGTTTTTTGAAGGATCTAGAGGAAGCAGCAGAAGCCAACATCAGCGACATCGGGAACTTTGCAAAGAGCTAGAAGTGCTTTAACGCAAAGAAAGAATGAGGGGAAGGTTTGGTACAATGATACAGGGGTATCGCTATAGGCCCAGGGCCTCCGAATGAGGGATCAAACAGGATCCCAAACCCTAGCAACCTAACCTAACCCAAATAATCAACAATTCAAGCAAAATACTTGATTGAGAAGATGTTCATCATCATCATTAATTACATAATGTGCCTTTTAAAGGTGAAGGAAGCATTGTACTAGTTTAAAGCTTTATTTTTTTCGCTACACTTTTGCGTTTTTTTGGTGTAAATAATAGACTTAAAATTCCAGACTTACAAAGATAATTAAATTAATGTGATCATCTCAAAATTATGCAATTTGCGATAGTCTGAGTCTGAGAAAAGTAGATAAATTTGTCCATGAAGGCAGGAAAGATTTTGACATCCAAAAATTACAGTAAATAAAATTTACTTGTGAATTAAAACGATAGAAAACTGACCCTATCATTTATCTTCTCATTGGAAACAGTTTTTCTACAATATATTGCTGTAAAAAAGGACATTTATTTCTCTAACCACAAAAATATTCTGAATTTAAAATCCCCTACTTTATACGTACGTATAATAAAAATAAAACTGATAAAATAATTACCACCACTATTAAGTAACTAAAAATTGGTAGAAGGCTAAAAATAATTACAATAGATAATAAAGTTAATTAAATAAAGTTAAAAAATAGTAGCAAAAATATACATTTTACTATCAGCTGCTTTTTCCCATATTATTTTATACTTAAGTAGGTAATTATCAAGTTTTCCTTTAGTAGAGCACTTATAACAATATTGAAAATCTAATACTTTACTTATTTAATACAGTTCGTTTTCTAAATACCATTAAAGAGCCAATTAACTTGTAAACGATGTTCAAAACCTGTTTTGATCTAAGAATATAACGATCGGGTTTTTTAAAGTTCAATTTTCCAGATAAAATAGAAATACATGTATTTGTAAGCTAAAAATATATTGTATAATCTTGTTACCTATTCATATGAATAAAATTGAAGTGTACGTTGTTTCGAATACATTTTCTGTTTGGTTGTTTGTCTGAGATAATATTTAAAACGTCTAAATATTTCTTTTCTACAGATTAAAATTAGTTACTCAAAACGATATAAGTAATTTTGATCTGCAATCAAATCATAGTAAAATATATAAAAGAAAAATGTCTACTTTTTGTTTTGTCATGTCGATAAAAAAAGGCGGAATGACGATCGATGATGTTCACCATACAATTTTTTAAAATGAAAATCATTTGGAAGCCAACTCTTAGTCCGTTTTTATTTCGATTATATGGAATCTATGATAAAAAAAAAACAACGGCGTGAAGTGGTCTTTGTCAATCGATATCTGTCGGGCCAACCCCTATACCGGGTGTTTCTCAAAAGTAGTTCGGCTATTTTTTTATTTTTGTCAGGTAAAAGAACGATATTTGGTATGTTAATATATGACATAAATTAGAATTGATTGACGTATTCAATTGTTTTCGGTCACTTCTCGTTTCACCGGAAATGACTATAACATTTGATTTTTAAATAACAACCTCGGTATTTTTTTTACTTCAATTGGTAGAAAATAAAATTCTAAATAGAATGACATATTATATGTCAAATTTTGACATTTTCAATTTAAAAAAAAAAGAATTTGAATTTAGAGTGCCATGGCCTTTAATGTCACGACAATTTGACTGGAAATACCAAGTGTGTGGTACCAAATTATTCGTAAAAAAATGTTTTTTCCAAATATGCTAATGAGTCACCCCCGTTCCATTTGAAAAAATTGAGTTATTATTAAAAATACGATTTGGGCATCTTTGAACCCGCCAGAACAGGACAGGAAAAACATTAGACTATCAAATCTATTCTTCCATGGCTACTTGATTAAAAATTATGGTTTTTAAAACAGCCACTAGATTGAAATTTAAAATACGATTTTTTAAGGGAAAATGTCAAAAGTTCACATTATCATATGTCATTTTCTATGGAATAAATTAAGAAAATGGGCGAAACCTGATTCAAAGTCAATCCTGATTTATGTCATATACGTTTATTTATCTGTAAAAACAGAAAAGTTACAGTGGACTGTTCAGAAACAGCCGGTATTTTATTTATTAAAAAATGACAAAAATTAGTCAACTTTCTAGAAACAAAGAATCTACTTTCAAAAAATATTTTACAGGATAGATTTTCGTATGAACGATCCAAAAATTATCGTATAATTTTTTTTACTTTTTCTATTTAATTATTAATTCTTTAAACTATTTTTCTAGTCTGTCAAAATGTTATATTTTCTTACTATACAAATTAAATGTTTTATACGTTTATACGTGTATACGTATATGTACAGGGTGGCTCGAATTCGACGCTCATCATTGGGATTTCGGAAACCGTAAGAGATACAGGATCGGTTAAACGGAGGCAAAGTTGCGCAATTTGATGCTCAATAAAATGCCGTAATGCATTTTGAAAAATTCCGAATATATTCGAAAAAAAGACGGAATTTTCAATTTTGTTTTCTATTGTTTCCTGGCTTTATTTGTTAAGACAACTTAAAATGAAAAACACATTTTCATGGCCACTTTTTCTGCTCTATAACTAGCTCTGTGTGATTAAATATTGACTCTGACGTTTCGGCTTCTGGCGACCATCATCAACTTAATATTTTTAAATATGGACCTGATTTTTTTCCAATTTAATTAAATCCTTTCATCACTCTTAAAACACTATATATACGAATAGTCACTTTGATATTTGCCGACGTTTCGTAGAGAAAATTCCATCACCAGAATATTTTATGCAAAAAAAAATAAAAATGCAATACGGCATTTTATTGAGCATCAAATTGCGTAACTTTCCCTCCATTTAACCGATCCTGTATCTCTTATGGTTTCCGAAATCCCAGTGATGAGCGTCGAATTCGAGCCACCCTGTACATTTGCGTCTTATGAAAAAAGGAAAGTATACCCAAGAGACAATCATAAAAAAGACAACATCCATAAATGACGAAAAATACAACCTACTTTTAGATTAAAATGACAAGACAAAAACTGCCATTATTAGGTATATTAGGTATGATGGTGCGAACATTAAAAAAATTAAAATAAGAGAGCATATGAGTTTTATTTTCCCCAAAGATTTAAAAAATACTAATTTTGCAGTAAATTGTAGGGTATATTGCGAAAACTACTAGATACTCATAAATTGTTTGACACCAATATAAACAAGCTACTAAAACTAACTAACTGAACCCATAAATCAACATGACAAATTTTATTAAAACCATTTTATTGAGCTTGTAGGTATCTATAATTACTAAGATGATAAAATAATAATCCGCCTTGGACTACAGATAAATACCTTACTATATATACGGGTTAAACTACAGTAACGTACAACGAACTAGTAGACAGGAAAAGATTCTAATAAATAACACAACACTGGAAATAGTAGAAGAATTTATACCTATATTTGAGACAACTAATACACAGCTCGGGATCTCTACTACCGAAAATCAACAAAAGAATTAAGTTAGCATGAAGTACTTATGGAAGAAACTCAATCCTATTCAAATCTAGAATGCCACTTTATCTAAAAAAGAAAACATTTGATCAATGTGTACTACCAGTCATGTCATGATCTATGCATGCGAAACCTGGACACTTAAAATGAACATCATAAGGAAACTGCAGGTCGCACAAGGCTCAATGGATCGAAATATGCTGGGAATAACCAAGAAAACCCATAAAAGATGAGAGTGGATACCACAAAAGACCCAGGTAATAGATGTCATTGACAGAATCAAATCCCTCAAGTAGCAATGGGCAGAACACCTGGCAAGAAGGATGAACAACAGATGGACCACAAAAATTACAGCATGGTACCCACAAGGAATTAAGAGACCTAGAAGAAGACCAAACCTGAGATGGGACCATGACATTAGGAAATTAGCAAGGATAACTTGGGACCTCATAGCCAACATAGACAACAATGAACCCAACTACAAAGAGAGTATCTAAATATGTGAGGGAGACTACACCATAACTGGAAATAGTTAAGAAGCTGAGAATGATGATGATTGTGAAAAATACTGAATACTCATTACTCATAAATTGTTTTACACTAATATAAACAAGCTACTAAAACTAGTAGTATAGTTATAACCCAAGGGATGGATTAATAATAGGTCTATATGTGATCCTGAAAAGATATTAATCTTATTTTATGGACAGTAAGATCAGAGACTAGATAGGACACCATTTGATTAGTGTTGAGATAAACAGTCATAAAGAAATTTCTCCCTATAAATTTTAATTTACTTTAATGTCTTTATTTAGAGAACAATAGATACATATTTGTATTGATTTCTAAGTGTATGTTTTAGAGGATCCCCTAAAAAGAACAAACTACCTACCTACTATCAACATAAGATTTTTATCAATTTTTATTTTTGTTTAGTGTAATTATATACTATGTACTACAATTTACCAAGTTTAAACAAAGAAGACATTAAATTAGCAAGCACCCATGAAACTGATTACTTTCTCAAACATTTGACAAACATATGTGTTATTATTCAAAAATCTAGGCAAAATAAACAAAGCTTTAGAAAACAACTCAATTATATTTTTAGAATAATCTTTTGGACAATAAATATTCCACTAGCATATGAATGAATTGCTACAATAACGACCCCAACCAACAACATGTATAATTTACTATAAGAATAATATGCTTAAAATTCTTTAACAGTCGGTTTACACTTCCCAACATCATCCGTAATCCTTAATTTATTAGACAATCGCGTGTTATTTTTAGACTGATTCTTTTCTAAAACCTCTGATATAAACATGTTTTCTCATCACGTTTTTCTTTAAATAGTACATAAACAAATACAATACATTCGTTGAATTATTCGGAGGAAATGTCTAGTTTCTGAGCAAACTAGAATTCGCATTTGGGGCAAGGGGTAAAGCAACGGTCAAATTATTGATTTGCTTATAACAGCAAAATGAACAAAAAGAAGAAACAATAAGGAGATAAAATTATGAATTTTTATCGTAAACGGTTGAATTGAATAAATATCGCCAGTATTTTTCTGTCAAACCAGTTATGCTTAACAAAATCAGCGGCATAAAATAGAAAATAGTAAGGGTTAAATAAACCAGAATCACGATCGGATTTTCAGAATAATTACGTAGCCTACAGAAACAGTTTTAAGCTTAATTTGTAGCACATAATTAAGGAAATTGATTTACGTACTTCTTAGAGTAAAGTTGCCAGTATTGTTAAATAAATTTCTAAAAATTTCAACTCACCACGACACAGCACAGCACTGACGACATGCCGCCATGTTGAATGTCAACATGGTCAGTCAACATCGTTAGTTCGTCAACTCAGCAACCATGCTTTGGAGAAAAACAAAACGCACAGGGATTCCGCGTTGCGATTGGTCAATAGAAAGAGAGAGAATGAAATTTCTCCACTTTTCATTGGTTTATAAGTTTTTGACATAATCAGTTTGACAGAAGAGATGTCAAAGTCAAATGTCACCTTAATTTACAAAAATAATAATTGGTTATTTATTGGTGTTATTGGTTTTCTAAATTTTTATTAATTTTCAAAGAAAAATGTTAAGTTGCATACTGAAAGAACTCACTTGATTAAATATCAAATCAATATATTTTGTTATTGAACTTCTATTACTTTAATTTCTAATTGCCTTTTATGGTAAATAAACATGGAGACAATATTTCATGAAAAGGTGAGCCTAATCAATTCAAGTAATATTTATGTATTTAAAATACTTGTGCTCAATTCCTGTTTATGAACGGTATGAAATTATGTTTATTAATAATTCTTTTTTTATATTATATATAGCAAGATGGATCTCTATGTGCTCAACACTGCCTAAATTCGTTACTCCAAGGTTCTTACTTTACTGCTGTCGATTTAGGAACACTGGCAAATCGTCTAGACGAAGAGGAACGTGAACAAATGGCTGAAGGTGGTGTCGATACTGAACAATACCGTAAATTTCTTGAACAGCCGTCATGTAATATGGATGATAGTGGATATTTCTCAGTTCAAGTCATTAGTTGTGCTTTACAAGTGTGGGGTTTAGAATTAGTGCCTTATTGTAGTACAGATGAAAGGGCAAAATCAGCTTTAGAAAATCCTAGTCAACAGCAGGCTTTTATTTGTAATTATAGGGATCACTGGTTTACAATCCGAAAAATAGGAAACCAGTGGTTTAATTTAAATTCTCTACTGTCTAAGCCTGAATTAATTTCAGATACATATTTAGCACTGTTTTTAGCTCAGTTGAGAAATGAAGGGTAAGTATTTTTTTAGTGATAATTGTTACAATATTACAACAGGTCTCGATTAAACATAATATTGCAGGTATTCAATATTTATAGTGTCTGGAACTCTACCTGAATGTACAGCTGACGAAGTTCTTAAAAATAACCCTGTTCGGAGAGGTGCAAGACCAGATCCCTTCCAAGCATCTGTCTCAAATGAAAGTGACTCGGATGTTCAAGCAGCTTTAAGACTTAGTTTGCAAGATAATAGTGACCCTGCTGATAGTCCAGATACTGATGAAAGGTGAGGAATTATTAAATGAAAATTGCTCTTGAAGACTAGGGAAGTTCTAAAATAGTGAATTTTAAGTAGTTAGAGGTAATTTAAGAGGGTTATTCTTAGTAGTCTTTTTTATAGTTTTAAGACAGCATCTTTCTACCTGTAGATGCTGAACAAATTTTTTCTAGTAAAGCTTATTTTATTTCATTGTTCCTAGAGAGTTACAGGAAGCTCTCCGATTAAGTTTACAAACTGCCAATAATTCTCCTGAAGAAGACGATGAAGATTCACTTTTAAGGAAAGCAATTAGTATGAGTTTGCAGTGTTAATTATTTATATTTTTACATTTCGTATTGTATTTTTTTATTGAATATTTAACAATTTTTATAAAACCTATTACTGGAGTCTCTTGATGTACTTACGTCCCACTGACTTGTAATACAATTGTTTGTTTTTACTAATACATTAATTTTCTAAAATATCTGATGTTTGAAAGAGAAAAGTATGAAAGCCCAATACTTTTAGTGTGATATTTTGAGTTGTTAAAAATAAAAAGCTATTATTAATGTTCTTTTAGAGTTTATTATTTAAAAATAATGGTAATTGCCAAAATAATTTTAGTTTACTTAAGAGTTCTTTATATTTTAATAAATATTTTATTATAAAAAATCTCGTTCTCATTTTTTTTGTTAACTAAAAATATCCACAGCTTAAAAATAAAATAAATATGTTTTTGAAAAAATGTATAAGATAAAATAAAGATAAATAAACTGGAATTTATATATGATTTTTTTTATATTTTTATTAATAGTCGAATCTGTGGTGCTTTTCAAGATATACGCAGCCGGCTTCAACTCATAAACTTGATCTTATATATTACGGCCGTATAGCCCTGGCAGTTGAGGCCGCAGAATCAATCAAAAAAGTACCATAGATCAGCAAAATTTGGTAAAAAAACCACAGATGTAGAAAATGAAAATATATTTTGTTCTATAGCCATTGTCAAAGTTGACATGTTGACATGATTACATATGATAATTGAGTTAAATATCGGTTTTTTATAAATTATAAACATTTTACATTTGTTTCTGACGACATTCTAGTTCTCTAGAGTTGTATGTACGTTAACTGTAGAATTCAGTGCAATTGGAAATTTTATGGTCTTTAAACTCGATAGAAATGAAGTGGACAACTTTTTATAGTTACTTTACTATATTTGCGATAACACTACTTTGCTTAGATTTATGTAAGAGTGCGTCAATAGGTAAATATGAAAGATTTACAGGAGAACAAGGATTATATTCCCAAAAAGATGATGTGGAGATATTGACTGTAGATAATTTTAAAGATGCTATAATAAATAGTAATAAGGCATGGGTTGTGGAATTTTATAACAGCTGGTGTGGATTTTGTCAAAAGTTTGCACCTTCATGGAAGGAATTTGCTACAGACGTGAGAGGATGGAAGGATTTAGTTGTCATAGCAGCAATGGATTGCTCAAACGAGCAAAATCATCCAGTGTGTAGGGATTACGAAATAATGGCTTACCCTACATTACGTTATTATCCAGAAGGATTTCAAGAAGAGGAGAAGAACTATGGTTTCTCGTTGGACAGAGGTGTTACTGCAAAAGATCATAGAGATGACTTATTGAGAAAAATTATAAAAGAACAGGTAGTAGGTCGAGGAAGGCATTTTCCAAATCTACTTCCATATATTTCAAGTGATATTGAGAAAATATTTGCCCAGTCTTCTTCTGATGTTCTTTATTCTATTTTGATTATTCAAGAGCATAATTCACTATTAGGTCCACAAATTGCCATGGATTTACACAAGACAACAAATATAGTCACACATTACAGTCCTGCAAATAATACTGATTTGGTAACATCTCTAAAAACTACCAGTTATCCCTCTATTTATCTTATAGGAAGAGACAAAAATGTTCAACATGTTAAAACCCTTAATAATGATGTCGAGAGTTTGAAGGAAGCTATTAAAGATGCCTTAAAACAGAAACATATCGATCTTCTGTTAACTGCAGGTAGGCAAGATGGAATTGATTTGTACGAAAGGAGTCAAGAGAATGATGCATTAATAAAGAAAGTGAAAAAAATGGGCGATGTAATATTCCAGATGGATTTAGAAACTGCACTAAGGTTTTCCTATTTTATTTTGTTGAAGTATTAATGATTATTTTTCAATTTTAGATATTCATTAAAACGTGAGATCGGTGGATCGAAAGAAATATCTGGAGAAAAACTAGAAGCTCTAAAAAAGTATATTAGTGTCCTGGCAAAATATTTTCCTTTTGGCAGGAACGGAAAGGCCTTTTTAAATCAAATTGATAATTATGTGAACTCAAGCCCTACTGTTTATGGATCCGAATTTTCCAAATTAGTTGATAGTGCTGAAAATGAAAATTCATTGGTATTCTCAAGTCCAAAACATTGGTTAGGTAAGTTAAGTCAAATATAGATTTATAAAGTGTAGGCGTTTTTAATATTTTTAGACCGGTGTGGTTCAGTTTTATGTTTTGTTTTTCATTAAATTATGAGTCAGTTTTAAAAAATATCACTCTGCATAAAAATATGCCTATAAATAAACTTAAGGTTTAAGTGTCTCATTTTGTATAAGAACTGTTAATTAATGTAGTTGTGCTGTATGTTATGTTTTAATGAGAAGGAAGAGTAAAATTTAATAAAATAAAGCCCCATCTACATACATAATAGTTTAAGAGCTGGCTACATAAAAAACCTTATCATCGTTACATGGCTAATTTTTTGTGTGAAGTATCCTTTTGTGTAGCCATTATAAAATAGTTATGTCTGCCAGCGCGATCCCGGGGCTTAAAACGGGGGCGGCCAATCGAAAGGGTGAAATTTTGACACTAAAAATATTATAAGATACATGAGTTATAATTGCGAAAATAGCTTTTATTTATTATTAAAAAACGTGGAAAATTGTTGGCAGACATTTTTCCAGTCGCTAAAATGCCGATAGACAACGCGAAAGAGGCATGAAAATTTAAAAATTATTAAAAAATTAAATTTGAAGAATAAAAAAAATTATGGCATATTTGCATGTCGATTGGTGAAGTATCATATTTATTTATTTCAAAAACCGTATGCAAAAGGGTAGATAAAAAGATCGTGGCTAAATCAGCTGCAGACAAGTATCAAAAGCGCGATATTACTCTAGCGCTTTCAGGGAACGCTCGCCGCCTCATCCATCTAAGTATAGATAAATCATATATACGATTATATTATAAATATATTTTTTTATTATTTCAATAACGATTTTTTTGTCTGCCCGTTTGCATACGGCTTTCTAGATTAATTAACAATAAACATGACATTCCACCAATCGACATGCATGTATGTGATGATTTTCTTTGGTCAAAATTCTATGCCTCTTTCGCGTTGTCTGCCATTATTTCAGCCACGAGAAAAATGTCTGTCAACAATTTTACATGTTTCTTAATAATAAATAAAAGCTATTTTCGCAATTATAACTCATGTATCTTATAATATTTTTAGTGTCAAAATTTCACCCTTTTGATTGGCCGCTCCCGCTTTAAGCCCCGGGATCGCTAGCAGACATAACAATTTCATAATGGCTACACAAAAGGATACTTCACACAAAAAATTAGCCATGTAACGATGATAAGGTTTTTTATGTAGCCAGCTCTCCGTCTATAACATTTTACCTGTCTGGTTAGACAGATTAAGAACTAGTGTATACACTGGAATGTTTACCTGCTGTTTTATCAATCATAACTAAGGTTGCCAGATTTTTATAGCGCTATTCCGGGAGGGCAAAAAATGCGAAAGCAGAAAAAGGCGACGCTCTCGAAAAATGAAAAATGTTTTAACCTTTGATATTATTATTAAGAGATGCTCCATTGGAAATTTCCGTTTGCCTATTAATTAACATGGGAAATTTTTTTTCCAGCTTAGGATTTTTTTAACTTTTTAACAAGTTTCTGGACTGGTTGAGTAGAAATATATTCTTGTAGAGAATTACACGTTATTCAAAGTAGGTCTTTTTTCAAATTTCAAATTTTTTAACTTTGTGACGCATCTATCAATTTTATGGGAAAATTTTTTAACAATAAAAGATTTTCTTTAATTAAAATATGAATTTATACAGCAAGTCCCCGTCGATTTTAGTTCTAAAACAGTTTAAAAATATAAGTTGATATATACACCACATATTACCCAAATCTAGTTTTTCACTATCTATAGACCAATAAATACTTGAGATTAAAAAAAAATACTATTGGAAAGCTTTAAATTGTCCAAAAAGCAGAATAGTATACAAAATGTCAAACATTGAGTAATACCGGGTGCGTCTCAAAAGTGGCTCACCCCTATAACTTTTTTATTTTTTCAGATAAAACATCGAGATTTGGTATGTTAGTGTATAGTATATAGTGTTATATTAAAATAAAAAAAACACTAAAAAATATAATATAGCTTTATGTAGGTATATCAAGTCATTTAATATATAAAAACAAAAATTTAACGTTTTCCACATAAGAAAAAATAATAATAAAGGAACATAAAAAATAAAACATTACAAAATAAATCAACATAAAACAAAACTTAGGTACTAAAAGAAAATTAAATAATAAAAATAAATAAACATAAATAGAATTTTTCTAATAAAAATATGATTCAAATTAAAATAAATTAATAGGAACAAATAAAATGTAAAAAAAGAACAAATAAAGCGGGGCCCCCAAAATCACGTGGCCCCCCCGCCGTTGCGGGTGCAGCGGGGCCTACGCTACGCTACTGCACGCACTTGGTATTTTGAGTCAAATTGTCGTTATGAACCGCATGTTACAATTTCAAATAAACCATATGCCAAAATGTCAAAAGTTGACATATGATATGTCATTCGATTCGGAGTGTCATTTTCTATCGAATAAAGTAAAAAAATACCGAGGGTGCCAATTAAAAATCAAAAGTTATAGTCATTTCCGGTGAAAGCGGAAGTGACCGAAAACAATTGAATACGTCTATCAATCCCAATTTATGTCATATACTAACATACCATATCTTGTTGTCTTATCTGAAAAAATAAAGAAGTTATAGGGGGTGCGCCACTTTTGAGACGCACCCGGTATAAGTGATGTAAAGGATATAAGAGAAGATAAACGACATACGAGGGGAGTAGAAAAATGCAACAATTTCAATATCACCCTGTATAAAAAAGGAGCACAGTGATGTGAAAACCGCATCTTTGTAGCTCTACTTATAAATGACAAACCCTGCAAAACACAAGACAATGGGACACCCTGTACATTCGTACATTCTATTCTATATGTTTGTACTACATTTTGAAAATATATTTATATATGTTTTCAGTTTAGGCAAAACGACATTTTTTTCGATACACACAATGTTTTGCTTGATACGTTTTGACTGAACAGGTAAAATGTTAAGTGTAGAGGGCACTTATAACTACCGTTAATTGGAGAAAAGAGTCATGCATCAGTTTAATTTTTGTTTATGATATTCTACCAAAATTTTTAAGCTTTTCTTTAAATTTTTATATCTATGTATGTCGCTATATTAAGATTGTTTTGAATAGTTTTTTTCAATATTTCCAGCACTATCAAATTATGTTGAAACTAATCTATCAATTTTGTATATGTTTTGGAAAAACTTTTGTGTTTTGGGATCGGTTTCATCGCTTCCTGATTCCTTACCGTACTGATGAAGCCTGAAGGCAGTTACATCAGTGTACACTAGTGTAGGTGTTGTTGTGTGAGTGTGTGAGTGTGTGTGTCTGCACTGGTGTACACTGGTGTATACGGTTACGAGTTGTTGAGGGCTAAGCCGTTTAATCTTTTTCTTCTATTTTGGAAATATACATAAAGTTTAGATAATTTTGAGCAACTCGGGGAATAAATTGCTTACTCTTATATTTCTGCATGATAGATTACTGCACAATTTTACACTGGATATACAGGGTGATCCGAACTGTATTCCGGAAACTTCGGCAGCATATTCTGCAGATAAAAATAAGTAAAAAAGTTCATATAAATGTATGTCCTAAAATGCTTACTGTCAGAGATTACGTAAAAAATATCTCTTGGTAAAAATCGCTACAAGCAACCGTTCTCAAGATATTTAGAATGGAAATAGTCAGTAGGTACATGTCATTATTGACAAAAAATAAAGATGTCGAGTAGATAGTAATTTGACCGAAATGATAAATTTGGGAACATTTTATTTTTTTAAAATTAATTATAAATTTTTCATCGAACAAATCATGATAAAACAGTTTCTGTTGAACTTTTGGCACAAAAACATTTCAAAAATATGATTTCAGTCTAATAACTATTTAGTCAACATATTTAATTTATGTCTATAATGACAGGTATTGATAATTTCGATTTCAAATATCTCGAGAACCATTACTCGTAGCGATTTTTACCAAGAGACCTTTTTTAGGTAAAAAACGTCGGAAATGTATATTTTTTTACTCAGTACTTTTATACAGGTACCGACGAAAAGTTATTACTCTTCAAACCAGTTAAAAAATATGTATGTGGCGCCCTCTACAAGTAGGAGTCATACTGACATCAAAATCAAATTTCTCCTGTCAAAAAACTCCCATACACAAATTTTCATCCAAATATTGACGTTACTTCATAAATTTTTTGGAAAAAATGGAAATAAAAATGAAACTTCTACACCCTGTATCTCCGAAACGAAGCATTTTAGGACATATGTTTATATGAACTTTTTTACTTATTTTTATCTGCAGAATATGTTGCCGAAGTTTCCGGAATACAGTTCTGACCACCCTGTATAATAAATCAGTTATTTTACATTAACCTACTAGAGTTGGGCTGATCATTTAATTTTAATGAACTTAATAAATTTTATATTGTTTCTTTTTTAAAGATTAATTAGGGTTGGGATATAATCATAGTTTAACAAAAATCAGCTTTTTTCTTATAATATGTACTATGATATAATGGTGGATAAATAATAACAAGTAAATGTGAAATAAAAAAAACGTTTATAATTATAAATATAATCTGACTGAATCAGAAGGGAATTATTTTAATTGAACGCTAATGAAAAGTTAAGCTTCTTGTAAGTGAAGACAAAGTTATAAGTGTTTTGTTTTATTGTTTTAACAATTATTATTAAGCTTTCCAGAACTATTGTGGGCAACCGCAGTTTCATACGCTTAGCTAAAAAAATTATAAAAATGCCTTAAGAGTATTAAAAATGTGAATTAGAGTGAAATGATCTTATCGTTTGCGTCTATTCTTTTGAGCTTTAAACACAAGACAGAATTAACACAGAATATAGGTTATATTTTAAGGACTAGGTCATAAATCTACTTGAATTAATTATAAATATCAAATAATCAGTGAAAACTTTGTATATTGTAATTATGTAAAATGTGACAGAGAAATGTCCCTACATTCATTTGCTTTAAATTAGCATGCAATTTGAGTCTATAAATAACATTGAGTTGCTGCAAGTCAATGTTATTTAAGATACTAAAAAAAATGATATAGCAATATTTTTTAAAATTGAGGATGAACCTGATGACGCTACTCAATAATTAGGGACAATGACTTTATGAATGAACCCTAGTCCTTAATGTGTCTTCCGTCGTTGTGTCACTCCAATCATATTTAAAGGGCCGGCTGCACGTACAAGCTTTACCACGAGCTTACCTGTACAAACCTGTTTGTATCAGGAACTCGCTCTGTGTTGACGGTAAAACGGTAGCACGCACAAACAAAAAAGCGCGGGGTGCGCAAATGTCGCGCTGCTTAAGATTTTAGTTTGTGCAAACCAGTTTGTGCGGTGATATCATACGTGTAGACGGTTTTAGCGAGTTAGCAGAGCCACAAATTCTGAATAAAAATAACGATGAATGTACGATCTTACTGCGCAAACTCTACCGCGTAGGCAAGTCGTTACCGTATAGCCGCGGCTTAAGTACAAGCTGCAATTTTTGAAATAAACCAATGAAATTATATAAAAACGACGAATGAGGGATGCGTCGTCCATCGCTGCCATTTTACTGGTTTATGCTAGATTGACTGACGATGCGTTACGGATGCAAATAAACTCACCTTTGGAGTGATTGTTTAAAGTTCTCTCCCGTGAGAGTAGGAACGATTTCGACAGAGGACTCCAAACCAAACCAAAAATAAACAGAATGTAATTTAGTTTTGAATTTAAATGGTATAACCACTGAATCCATGACAGTTTTGCCTGTCATTTAAATTTACAAATAAATTGTGTTTGCTATCATTTTTTGAATGTGATCTGTCGAAATGTTGCCTGACTTATTGGACAAACTATATAATGACTGTTAAGTCCAACTCACTATGCGCTGATGCTGTTCGTCAATGCGTCAGTGCGATAGGTTGTGCGGCGGTTCGGCGGAATGAATGAAGTTTTTGGGCGAACCATCAAAAGAGATACCACGGACACAATGGACGAATTTCCAAACGAACTAACGAATCGCAGCATTGAAGCATCGCGTCGACGAACCGCATCATAGTCACTATGCGTGCATGAACGCATGGACGAATCAAATCGACGTATTAGTGCATAGTGAGTATGTGGCTTTACTGTCATATATTCTGTTGGACAGATTATGAATGCTTGAAATTTTATGTTGTAACTAATATTATTTGTATTACGTGAAATAGGTGGGTATTTTGCTACTGAAACACATAAATATTTTTTTTTGTAAATTTCCTCTTGTTTTAATAACACTTTTCCGACACAGTCGTCTTTATCGCCAACTAAATGTCAAATGTTTTATAGGTAAGGCAATATTTTTGCACTGTAAGAGCCACTGCAGTTTGTGTCGATGGATTCTAAACGATATGGCACTTAAAGTTTCCGTTGCAGTGGCGAAATATCCAGCTATTTCCATTAACGAGCCCACCACAAAGGTTTTAATATTTGCATTCTTTTATTAGGCTGTAAAGGTAGTTCAGGCCAATATCGAGGATTTCCCTGCGGCATGTGGAAGTTGTTCCACTACCTAACGGTGAACGTTGCCGATTACGAACAAGGCCTAAGAGGCGACAATCCCCGCCTAGCCTTAGAGGCCATGCACGGCTACATCAAACACTTCTTCGGCTGCGCCGACTGCAGCAAGCATTTCCAGGAAATGGCGGAGCGCAGAAAACTTCAAAACGTTTCCTCCTTCGACGACTCCATCCTGTGGCTCTGGATGGCCCACAACGAAGTCAACAAGCGCCTCTCGGGCGACTTATCCGAAGATCCCGAATTTCCCAAGATCCAATTCCCGTCACAAGACAACTGCCCGGCCTGTCACAAGCCCGACGGATCCTGGAACGAGCCGGAAGTCCTGAAATACCTGAAGCACATGTACAGCAGCATAAACATCCGATACTTGGGCTCCGACACCAGGATTATTCACATGGGTCTGGACGGAAACTACAATTCGACGCAGGGTGGGTTACTTAGCTCTTTAGATTCAAGCATATGTTTTTTGTTGTACGTAGCGGCGTTCGTTTTCATTGTCGTACTGATAAATATGTTTTTAAAGAGGGGCTACAAGAGGAAGCTGTACAGATACAAGCACGACCTGTTAGGAAAAGTTTAGTAAACGGTACGACGGATGGTGGCGACGCGTCCTTAGCACCGGCAAAAGATAAGACACTTTTTATGCTTCCTCTGTTTTCTGTGTTAACAATTTTGTATGTTAAAAAGTTTATTCTGGGCCTTAACTTTTAGGTAGCTTATTCTTATACATAAACACGGAGAACTATTTATTAGTTGCCTATTAGAATTACTAGCACTTAGTAAGCCTTTTTTTGTTTTATATACATGGTTAGAAAATTTAAAATAACCAAATTTTATTATTATGTTTTCTTATCAATTTCTATCTAAACTACGCTCACCGCTCACCGGCACGAAAAACAATCACACATATCGTATTTTAAAGTTAATATATTTTGTTCTAGTGGACCGAATGATTTTTCAAGTGTTATGTAGCTAAATTATATGACTTTTTATGATTATTTGTTTCTAAATTAAAAATGTTCCTATGTGCCAATTATACGAGGGGAAAAAACGTTGATATTTTGGTGAAAGTTTGAAACACCCTGTGGAATGTGTTAGGAGAGCAAGGAATTTAAACATAATTTCATCATCTAGGTATATCCTTTCTCGATAGTTTGTTTTTTGATCCATATCAATAGCTTTATTTTTGTTGGAGATATTCACTTTTGAAGATGGCACTAACATTTTTTCGTAATTTTTACATTAAAACCGCGCCTTTGCTTTTGGTCTTAGTCAACCGACTTAGTAAGTTGTGGTCCCAAAGCAGACCTTCTCGACATAAGATTTTTGAATATTGATAAATTGCCACAAAAGCGAATATCTTCAACCAAAATAAAGCTATTAAAATGAACCAAAACAAAACTATCTAGAAAAGATGTACCTAGATGATAAATTTATTTTTAAACTCCTTGCTGTCTTAACATATTACACAGGGTGTTTTAAACTTTCATCAATATATAAACATTTTGTTTTCCCTCGTATAATTGGTAGATGGGAACTTTCATTTTTAATTTAGAAAGAGATACTAACAGGTCAAATAATTTAGCTGCTAATTGCTTAAAAAATCATCAAGATTTGCCCACTAGAACAAAAAATATTAAACTTTAAAATACATAAAAATTTTAAGGTGCACGTTTTTTGGGCTAGTGAGTGTATAACACAATTTGACGGTGACAGTATCTTAGTGCAAACAACTGTCTTTAAACTGAATAAACAAAAATGATTTCATAACATGAACTTCACTGACAGCTGATACTTCAAATATAATACACAGAGTTTTTCTTTGAGTGATTTTAAGACCTAAAGTTTATATAAATATATGTAGGTCAAGAAATGTCTTTCTTTTCAAGATACAGGGTGACAAACTTTTTAATATCAATCTTTTTTCGTAAATATCTTAGTAATCATTTAGTCGTCGGAAACCATTATTTGGTCATAAAACTTCTTAGTGGCGTAGTATATTTTCATGCTATAATTTTCAAAATTTTAGACATATTGTTATGAACGTTGACAGTTTTCAAACTCTAATGTACTTTCCAATTACAAATTATTATTGTCATTACATATTCAAAGCTGGTTTAATCATAAAATATTTAGACCACACTGTATACTACTAATTGGTTACAGAAATGTAATTTTCTTTTTTACTGCTGCATATTTAGCAAGTTATTACACAAACGTTATTAGAAAACATGACTAATTCAATAGTTTGTCTTGATTGAGTCATATTCAATGTCATTCTTTAAATTTATTGCTGATATAACAATTATTAGTGTGAAGAATCCATTTGTCACTTGCTATCAGTAAATCAAAAAACAAAACTTAACAATGCCAAGTAATGAAGGACAAAATTAATTCAAATTTATTAATAGCAATACATTTTTTAATTGCTAAAAGATAAGTAAAAAACAGGTGATAAAAACATAATGGTTTATTGTTTAGTGGTTTAACAATTTGTTATAAAAAGTTTTTTTGTGGAAATGGTTTAATTTTGCAGTATTTTATAACGAATTCAAAAATATGGATTCTTAGTAAAATATTTTTTGATGGACGTAAAAAATAATTATGTTGCCCTAATATTTTTCTGGTATTTAAACAAGTTATATGAGGGTCTAAATATAAATATTGCAAATTTACATATTACAGAATTATAAATATAACAAAACTTTTCTACATAAAAAATTACCTAGTAATTGGATTTGTTAGCAAATGTAATAATTTGGAGTTTTGAACTATTTTCCAATCTCTGCATTAAAATTAAAATAGGTATTAATATACCTTGTGTTGCATCGCCGCTCCGACCTGGACATAGGAAATCCCATGTAAATTTTAAAAATGATGAATACGTTTTCTCCATTTTATTTTACAGAAAAAAATATTTGAAACTTCTTAAAGAACTCCTTAAAATGAAGCAAATTGTTCATCTTGAATGGTTTATATGAATTCGTTTTTGAGTTATGAGAGATACAATAATACATTTAAAATTTTGCGGTGCTGATCAAACAAACATAACAATCAGAGGTTATGTCACAATATGACAAATCTGTTACGATTTTCCTCTACAGAAATCTGTCAAAAATATTCTCAGTTATATTCTCTATGTAAAGTAACGAAAAAGTACACTGTAAACATGTGAGAATCTTTTAAAAATAGATAAGTAAACACACTGCTTCAATAGAAAATTTATTTATTAAATACTAGACAATTCACCAAATCAAGTACTTTTTAATAGAAAATGGATAAAAAAACTCCCCGTCCACTAATTCTTGGTGTTTGGAATATTTAAATAAATGACTTAAAATTATGCTTCTTCAAATTCACCAAGCAGTGGTACAATGTTTTCCTCTATTTCTTCAAGTATTTTGGTACTTACTTGGTTTGCATATTCCACTTAAAACAGAGAGAATATTTATTTATTAAATACTAGACAATTCACCAAATTAAGTACTTTTTAATAGTTAAAAAATGGATAAAAAAATCCCCGTCCAATAATTCTTGGTGTTTGGAATATTTAAATGACTTAAAATATGCTTCTTCAAATTCGCCAAACAGTAGTACGATGTTTTCGACTATTTCTTCAAGTATTCTGGTATTTACTTGGTTTGCATATTCCACTTAAAATAAACAGAATATTTAATTCATTTTCATTTATTTTTTCTCCATGATCCTCATCAATATTAATCTTCATTTTATATTTATATCCTTTAATAACTGTTCGTGTTGGAATTCTTCTTCTGCATTTATAGTCTGACGCATTTGGGAAATATACAGAAAATAAATCCTTTACGGTCTATTACGATTTTAACAAATTAACTTCTTTTAAAATTATTATTCTTGGAAACAATAAATTCAGTTTGACATTAAAAGATTGAATTTGAAGGTGGCATATTTTTTATTCTAATTAGGGCGGTATTATTTTTTTTATTAATTTAGTATTTTTGTATCTTTCATAACTCAAGAACGAATTCCTATAAATCATTCAAAAGGAACAACTTGCTTCATTATAAGGAGTTCTTTAAAAAGTTTCAAATACATTTTTCCGTGAAATAAAATGGGAAAAAATAGGATTTCCTATGCCCAACAGACTATACCTATCTATACCTATTTTAATTTTAATTCAGAGATCTGTTTAAAAACCGTATGTTTAAAAATAAACGAAAGTATGCTTATACTTTGTAACCCAGAAAAACAAAAAAAAACAATTTAGATACTGGTGTTTGTTAATAATAAGTGACCTTAGATAATAACTTCTTAATATTTGCTAATATTAATCACTGTAGTGTGCTGTATTGAAGTATTATACAGTGTGTACCAAAAAGATCGCAACAAATGGAGATGAAATTTCATTGGTTTTAAGTTTAAAAAGTCTGTCCAATGAGGGACGGACGATTTCAACAGATGACAAATATATTAAATACAATTTGCCCATGATACAAAGAAAACAAGATATGATATTGCGCAGGTTGGTCACTACATAATAGGTGATAAACGGCACCATTGGTCGGCAAGCTCCGCGCGCCAATTTCGAATTGTCAAACAGATGACACATAATAAATGTGAAAATAATTTTTCAAATGTCAAGCTCGATGATTCGACATAACTTTTGGGGTTATGTCCTAATTCTTCCCTATTTTAGGTCTTTTTTTATTAGTGACAATTGAACAATATGGATATTTTTTGTATGCATATGACGTCACAGATTATATGCGCAAACTGAACGAAATTGGGGCCGCTATCAATCATACCTTGTTTTCTTTGTACCATGCAATTTGCCTGTGAATTAAAATGATACACACAACTGTCACTGTCATGTTCTTGTTGGACAGAATACATTGAATAATTGTATATTCCACTAAAGGATCAGATTTAGGACATACAATTTAAAAAAAATCTACATTTAATAATTTACAGAGATATATATTGGCTAGTAGATGTGACCTGTACACTTGACCTATGTCAAGTTCAGATATCGAACTATTCTTGATATTCTTTATAAATATACAAATACAAACAAAAATAGGCTTGCAAACTAGACAACTTAATTAGATATCAAAATTTAAAAAAAATGCGAAAAATGGATTATGTTTTATCTAAACATTATTTTGTATTTTAAAATCAGTACATAATAGTAATTTTCTTTAGTGTTTATTTAATAGTAGTTCTCTGGTATTCTACCCTAATGGATTTCCGTAGATTTGATATTATTTTTCTTTAACATGCATGACATATATTTTGACTTATTTCCTTTTCTTTGTAGTTTACTAACTAACTTTTATCTGAATCTCTTAGTTTTACAAAAAAGAAACTTTATGACATACTAAAAAACCGTTAACACTAATTTTAAGACTGATATACTAACATTTGTTACTAACCTTCCATATTTGTCAGGTCCAAGTAATTTCTGGTGGGAACTAAAATCGTGGTCTTCAATTTTATTATAGATTTATTAGTACCTACATCTCTGTTTCACACGTTTTCCATTGTTATTAACTAAATAAGATTGTTAATTGTATTTTTCTTTGACAAAAGTGATATTTTTTCTGTTTTAGAAGATTTTTAGGAATTTATGGTTCAAGTCTTTTTGGTTCTTTCATATTATCAACATAATTCTTTGTAAGAGTCTATTTTTTCAAAAGTTTAAAATATACACCAAAGTAAGGTTGTAAATATGTATGTATGTACATTA